AAATTAAAAAGGAAAAGTAAGGGATTGGCCCAGCTAGTACTTCCAAGGGCTAGGGTTCAGGTGAAACAGGTCAAACTGGGATAAACCAAGTTGGGGGCTGATCAAAAAGGTACAAGCCAACAGGAATTCATGAAGTTGGTCAGGATCCAGCACACAGAGCTGAGTACCATTATGTCTATTTATGCATGCTAGTTCTTTTTAATCTTCCAAGGAAGATCTCATCCTTTACAGTCTATTAAAGATCTGGCACCTCTAGGTTCTGACAATTATAATACAAGTATCCCTACTTGCATGCTGAGACCTTGGGTTAGTCAGTCAATAAATATTTATTAAATGCTTATGTGCCGGGCACTATGCTAAGCATCAGGGATTTGCAATTATAAAAAAACGTAAAAGACAATCCCTACCCTCACAGAACACCCAGTTTAATGGGGAAGACGTCATGTAAACAACTATGTACTATAAGCTCTACATAGAAGAACCTAGAAATAATCAACAGAGTAGGCACTAGAATTAAGGGGGATCTAGAAGGGCTTCCTGGAGAAGGTAGAATTTTAGTTGGTACTTAAAGGATGTCAGGAGGTGGAGATAAGGAGGGAGAGCATTCCAGGTATAGAGGATGGCTAGTGAAAATGCCTGGGGTTGGAAGATGGGATACATTGTTTGAAACAAGGAAGGAGGTTACTGTCACTTTCCAGAACGGGGGGTAGGGGGGGAGAGAATTATGAAGGGTGCTGAATGCCAAACAGAGGATTTTATATTTGATTCTGGAAGTGATAGGGAACCACTGGAGTTTACTTAGGGGGAAGGGATGTGATAGGATCAGACTGTTATTTAGGAAGATCACTCTGACAGCTGAATGGAGAATGGACTGGAATGCGGAAAGAAATTAGAGGCAGGGAGATCCACTAAGGGGCTACCATAACGGTCAAGGCAAAAAGTGATGAAGGCTTGCACCAGGGTGTTGCCAGTCCTTAGCAACAGACTGGACACGGCAGGTGAGAGAACGTGAGGAATGCAGGATGATTACGAGGTTAAGCCTGGGTGGCATGCTCAACAGCAAAAGTTAAAGGTCAGTCAAGGAAGAAGAGGATGTTTTGATAATGGGTTTTGGATATGTTGAGTTCAATACGTGTACAGGACATCCAATGTGAAATGTTCAATGACAGAAAACATGTGAGATAGGAGGTCTGCTGAGAGGTTAGGGCTGGATAAGATATTTTAAGTTAGGTCATAAAATCATAAGCAAGATGACTATAAGAGTCCTTCCTGCTCCAACTCCTTTTCCAGATAAAGTAACTAAGGCCCAGGGAAGTCATTTTCTGAATTTCAGTTTCCTCCTTTGTAAAATGGTATATAATTCCTGCTCTTCCTACCTTCCAGGGTTGTTTGTTTTATTTTCTATCAGGCCTGTGATGTCATAAGTATAGGGAGTTCCCGGTGAGGAACTTCTACCAAAGACTGGCACCTTCTCTGAAACTTGCTTTTAGAGAACTGCTTTAAGAGACACTGAAAGGGTAAGTGATTTGCCCAGAAATCTCGAGTCAGTATATAAGTGAGGTGTGACTTGAACCTAGGTCTTCCTGCCTCTGAGGCTAGCTCTCTATCCATGTGCCTTTAGCTCCTACGGTTGTTGTGAAGACCAAATAAGACAAATGCAGGTGAACGTGTTTTGTCAGTTATAATGTTCAATGAAGATGAATGGCATCATTATGATTTCATAAAAAGAAGTGATGGGCAAATACAAAGATTACCAAATTTTAAAAGAGCAAAAATGTATCTGAACTGCTCAACAGTAATAGGGAACTGACTGCTTGAGCAAGAGCCAATGTCAAACCTCTTCCCCACTCATGACAGTTTGTTCTTAAATCTTTGTTTCCCCCTTCGCTTCATACAGGGTTATTCAGCAAGCACGTTTTGAAAGCAAATATTTTTTTCTATTAGAAAATATAAGTACCTTTGGCTTAATTCCAATTAGCGCCCTTTTAAATCCTGTTTGACTGAAAAGGATCTTGATTATGTTATAAAAGTTACACAGAATTCTGATTACATTTCATTAAAGTTATTTTTCTATATCATATCCTCCATGATAGAATGGAAGCTGCATAAAAACACAAAACAATCTTTTATCTAAACTTTTTTTTAATATCTCTTACTGCCTGGCACAAAATTGCACATATTAGGTATACACATCGAACCAAATCCTAAATTTTTCAAGGAATGGCTAAATATACTGTAGACTATCTCTAGCTTTTTCTCATTTTTCTTGCTACCTTTTTCTGTAATCATTTCTTTGCTTATTAACACTGCCATCACATTCATGAATACTGAGATAGAGGAAAGGGCAACATGTCCCAGAATGTTTTACACAAATACTAAAACTGTCATTGTTGGTACAACATTCAAGAACACTGAGATAGAGGCAGAAACAAAAAGTCTATGTTCTGTTCTAAGAAGCCTCGGTCATCATGATCTGGTAGTCCTAATTTAAAAATGTATATTTTCTCCCAGTTCTTGTCTTAGCCTATTTCCAGTTAGTATAGAGTTGTTCTGGAACAGAAATTTGAACAAATCATTACAGTCTTGGCAAAACCTCACTAATATGATGAACTCAAGAAAAAGACTAAATTAGCAAAGTTTTAAAATGTACACACACATATAAATATACATATGTATATGAATGTACACACACACACACACACAAATATAATCTCACAGGCTCATAGATTTAGAATCGGAAAATTTTCTTCTATTTATTTACTTATTTTCAATTTTTTTCAACATTCACTTTTTTTGAGGGGGGGAGAAGGTGAGGCAACTGGGGTTAAGTGACTTGCCCAGGATCACACAGCTAGTAAGTGTCAAGTGGGGTTTGGTCTGAGGCCGGATTTGAACTCAGGTTCTCCTGACTCCAGGCCTGCTGCTCTATCCACTGTGCCACCTAGGTGCTCCCTCAACATTCACTTTTATAAGATTTTTGAGTTCTACATTTTCTCTCCCTCTTTTCCCTCCCCCTTCTCCAAGACAGCATGCAATCTAATATAGGCTATACTTGCACAATTACATTAAACATATTTCCATATTAGTCATGTTGTAAAGAAGAATTAGAACCAAAGGGCAAAGCCACGAGAGAGAAAAAACAATAAAAAAAGAGAAAACAGTCTACTTTGATCAACATTCACACTCCATAGCTCTTTCTCTGAATGTGGCTAGCATTTTCCATCATAAGTCTTTTGGAACTGTCTTAGATCATTGCATTGCTGAGAAGAGCTAAGTCTATCAAAGTTGGTCAATGCTCTCCTGGTTCTGCTCACTTCACTAAGCATCAGTTCATGTTAAGTCTTTCCAGATTTTTTTGAAATCCTCCTGGTCACCATTTCTTATGGAATGATAGTATTCCATTATGTTCTTTTTTTTTTTTTTTGGTTAGGCAATGGGGTTAAGTGACTTGCCCAGGGTCACACAGCTAGTAAGTGTTATGTGTCTGAGGCCGGATTTGAACTCAGGTCCTCCTGAATCCAGGGCCGGTGCTCTATCCACTGCGGCACCTAGCTGCCCCCCATTACGTTCTTATGCCACAACTTGTTCATCCATTCCCCAATTGATGGGCATCCCTTCAATTTCCAATTCTTGGCCACCACAAAAAGAGATGCTATAAATTTTTTCCCCCAAATGTTTATGGCAGCTCTTTTTGTAGTGGCCAAGAATTGGGAAAAAAAAATTTTAGGACACTGAATCCAACTCTCTTACTTTGTAGGTAAAGAGACTGAGGCCAAAAGAATTAAGTGACTTGCCCAAGGTCATACAGCCAGTAAATGTCTGAAACAGATTTGAATCCAGATCTCTCTGACTCCAAGTCCAGCTCTCTATCCACTACACCACAATGCCTCTCAATTTAAGGTTTGCAAAGCACTTATACATATTCTCATGTATGAATGTATTTTTAAAGAAAATAAATACAGCCTTACTATTTTCAAATACATTTAACAACTCTTGCAAATGTTGCTAAGCAGAGATCCCTTAGTCAAATTCATTAGTGAATATTTTAAAATGGTGAATGTTTATGTGTAACTAGATGTTGAAACGGTAAATTGTTTATGTATAATTAGAAGCTTCCAAAATTTTTAAAATGTTCCTTTATATACATGAAGACTTTCTCTTTAAAATAATAATTATTCTGTAATTAATTTGCTTGGCAAAAATTAATTTTGGTAGATGGTTCAAAGATAAACTTAAGCCCAGTCAACGCAACAAACATTTATTTACTAAGCACCTACTATATACAAGGTGATGTGCTAGATGCTGGGGATCCCAAGATAAAAACAAAACTCCCTGCCCTCAAGGAACTTATATTCTATTGGATAACACAAAAAGATGCAAACTACAAACCTAAATTTAGCATGAAAGTCAGATCAGATGCAGTTGCACACTTCAAAAACCAACTGAAACATTCAGACTCTTCTTAAAACCAGCTTTGTTATAATTCCCCTCTTGGACAATCCAGGAAAAATGGACAATTCTGTCTTTGTCCTGGCATAGTGAAATGAGTATAGGACTAACCAGAAGATCTGGGTTTGTGTCCTGACACTAGTTTTTGACTCTAAATTCACAGACTCCACTATTTGAGGATCTGAACCTGATTCTTTCTTATTTACTCAAGACTACCCTTACTCACTTTTATAAATATTTCATGAAAAAAGAATGCTAAAGCCTGACCTATTTAATCCCTCTAGCTGCCTTAAACTACTCTAGTTTCTAACAATGCTTATCTTAGCTGACTTGACATTTTTTAAATGGTTCTTCCTTATTTCTCTGCTCCAAGTGCAAGATGCTTGTTGTTAAGTTTCAAGTGCATGAATGGTCCCTCCTAAGACACATTTCCTTCTTTTACTTTAGCAGCTTTCTTTTTTTTAGAGCTATTGCTGATAGCTTCACCTTAATTATAACCTCTTTGGGATAATTAAGGCATTCTATTGATTAAAAAAAAATAACGTTCTTACTTGTGCAGACTGTGCATGTTCCAGCATCTCTTCAAATTCCTGGTACTCCTCATCATCAGGTTCAGCACCTGACAGCCGCGCTGCCCTGGCCATGAAATAAGGGGGTAGCTCTCCAATGGCTGTGCCAGCTCCCTTCACACACACACAAAAACACAAAACAACCAAAAAACACCCACATGAAGTTCTGTTCTTTATGTCATAGGCAAAATTACATTTAATGCACATCAGCAGCAGAATTTTTCTACTTTGCTAAAAACACCAGCCAGGAAACAACCTGTAAGTAAAGCTAACTTGTACAAGTCCCAGACAGTACAGTAGAGCATATATAAAATGTTCAAGTTGACAATGTTATCTTTTTACAATGAACAACTATGTAAAAAACTCATGCTTTTTACTGAACTCTTCACCTATACCTGTATACTCGGTGATTATGGTAGCGTTTTTTCATATATATATACGTAATATTTACACAATTCAGTTATAAATGTTCCTCAGATAATGTTACTATTGGATAAATATTTTCTTGGAAGCTTTTGGCCTCCTGGATATGCTTTAAACTTCCCTGCTCTTTGGTATGGTTTAAAAACTGTGGACAAGCTGTGGTCACAAAGCTCAAGGAACCTGAACATCACAATGGACAATGCTTTACCAGAGGAAAATTGTTTATTTCCTCAGGGCACTGAATGAATCACAATTCACTCTTTATTTTTTCAATTAAAAAAAAAAACTCCAACAGATTTACACAAGGTTACAAAACAAAGGTAAATGAAACAGCAAATTGAACTTAAATCCTTAAAAACAGGGTGTCCCAAAAGTCTTGGTGTAGTTTTAAGTTTCAATAGCTTCCCAAGTTACACATTCAACTCCTGAGCCATAATTAATTTTCAACCTTTGATAATGCTTTGTTAGTCTACAGCTCCTTGTGTAAGGACTATCAGATGGTATGAATGTTGTGCTCAAAAGTCTGGGTTTATGTGCACAAATGCCTACACACCCACTCCCCATCCCCAACCCCCACATGCATGTTTTTGCAATCAATCCTGCCATCATATTCTGGCCCATCCCCGTGTGTATCCATAAGTTAAATAAGACCTTTGAACAAAAACATGTTACTGTGCAAAAAAGAATAAGCTGATAGCTCAGTTGTGAATACTTTGGAGGGAGAAGAGCAAGGGAAAGAAAGAGAAATTGGGGAAATACACTCAAGAGAACACAGCAACAAGGAAAAACAAATCACATTTTGCCCAATAAGACTAGGGCCAAAGTTAATTGCCACAGTTAGCCTTTAAAAAAAAAAAGATAAAAGTTGTAGGAGTAAACTGAATGTGAACTTCTTTTGAAACTTGCTAAGTCATATATTTAACAGATCTGAAATTAAGTTCTATGATTCAATGTAGGCTCATGACAGATTTCCTTAATGTAAGAAAGGAAACATTAAATGGATTCTAACAGCTGTTTACTGTCTTGAAAATCTGAATAACCATATTTATTGTTACATTTCATTTTGCTCATGTTCTCCCATGTTAGCAAGGAGAAAGAATGGCTGCTACTAGTCAGCATTCTTTTTATGCAAATAAATAAAAAGGGAAGTTAGTCATCCAGGCACCTCTCTGAGAACATAATGTATCCTGTACATGGAAGATTTTCATTTAGTCAGTTGTCTCAGTTTTGGATGTGTTAGCTCTCATCATTTCATAACTCAAGCAATAGACTTTGGCTGTTTTATTTCTGTGTTTTTGTTTTGCTTTGTTTTGTGCACGAATACAAAAAGCTTAAAAAAAATCACTGTTCAAGTAAGAAGGAACAGGCTGAGGGGAAAAAGAAAACTTTCTCACTGCTAAGCTATGTAATATAGAGACAACTCCAACAGTTAACTTTAATTTAAAAGCCATAGTCTGAAAACCAACAGAATCACAGTCAATTTATTATACTATTTGGATTTAGTCTAAACTTTATCTGGACAAAAGCTTCAAACATAGAGTTTAAAAAATATACCACCATTCATGGAATTCATAGTAGTATAAAAGGATTATTATATTTTATATCATTAACAAAACTTCCTACTCCTTGATCACACCTAGCAACCAATCAAACCATTCTTTTGACCATCTGGCAGGACCAGTATCTCACTTGTGTCCTGTTGACCCTCCCCTTCCACACTAGTCAAATACAGGCATACCTCATTTTATTGTGCTTCACAGATACTGCTTACAAATTGAAGGTTAGGGGCAGCTAGGTGGCACAGTGGATAGAGCATCGGCCCTGAAGTCAGGAGTACCTGAGTTCAAATCCGGTCTCAGACCAAACACTTGACACTTACTAGCTGTGTGACCCTGGACAAGTCACTTAACACCAACTACCTTAAAAAAAAATTGAAGGCTGGTGGCAATCCTGTGCTGAGCAAATCTACTGGCACCATTTTTCCAACAGCATGAGCTCACACTGTATCTGTGTGTCACATTTTGGTAATTCTTGCAACGTTTTGAACTTTTTCATTATTATTATTCTGTTACGGCAATCTGTGATCAGTGATCTTTAATGTCACTATGCAGTGTAATTGTTTTGGGGTGCCATGAAATGTGCCCATTTAAGATGGTAAACTTATTTGATAAATGTTCTGTTTTTTGATGTGCTTTTTAAAAGTGTTCTGACTGCTCCACTGACTAGGCCATTCCCTTCCTTCCCCTCCCCCCCTCTCCTCAAGCCTCCCTATTCCGAGAGACACAGCAATATTGAAAAATCAGGCCAATTAATAACCCTACAATGACCTCTAAGTATTCAAGTGAAAGTAAAAGCCAATTGATACAGCAAACTTCATTACTGTCTTATTTTAGGAAATTGCCACAGTCACCCCAACCTTCGGCTACTGTCATTCTAATTAGTCAGCAGCCATCAACATCGAGGCAAGACCCTTTACCAGCAAAAAGATTATGGCTTGCTGAAGGCTCAGATGATGGTTTGTGTTTTGTTTTGTTTTGATTTTAGCCATAAAGTATTTTGAAATTAAGGTACATACATTTTTTAGATATAATACTTAATAGACTACAGTATAGCATAAACATAACTTTTATATGCAACTGGAAAACTACAAAATTCACATGACTAGCTTTATTGTGGTAGTCTGGAATTGAACCCGCAATATCTAGGAGGTATGCCTGTAATCCAAGACCAAAGACTTTCCAGCTCATCCCCTACCACACCAACACAGAAGAAAACAATGTGCTCAATGGATTAGGTCCTAGGGCAAAGCTAACCTGGCCAATGATCAGAGAGTGAATACTTAACCACATCTTACTCCTTAAATCCATGCCTTTCTCTCCACTCACCACAACTGCACTAGTTCAGATCCTCTTCACCTCTCATGTGGATTAACACAAGTCTCCTAACTGACCTCACAGTATCCAGTCATTCCATTCTCCAATTCAAGTTCCTATAAAGTGTCTGGGATGGTATCTCTCAACATGGAGAGAATAGGGAGCTTGCTTCTGTGGAAGAGTGATAACATGTAAGGGGAGTGCAACAGAGAAACTGTGGAGCACATGTATCCATTCTGTAACTAGTTCCAGTTGGTTAAGCACGTGGTGAAGAAAAGGAGGTTCTCTGACCAGCAGCGGAGGCATTTAAAGAGGGCTGTTGATATTAGTTACTTCCTTTTGTCTCATTCAATCTTTTAGCTTCATTTGAGAACTCCTTAGTTCATGGCATCCTATGAGAGACTATGACATAAGGGGAAAGGCCTTGGGGTCTCCTTCCCTTCTGGGACCATAAAGCCTATGGGCATGAAACTGGCGGGCCCAATGTTATATAGAAACTGAGTTAAGTTTTACATTTACTTCATCCTAGAGCCCAAGGGAGAGGATGCCTCTAAGGTGTTGGGGGAAAATGTTAGTATATTTGTTGTTGCTCTATCTTTGAAGTAAATATATCTTTGTAAAAGCTAATAAATGTTAAGTGGTTAAATGGAACTGGAGTACTAGTTATAGGCCCCTAAGAGATGAAGGGAACATATGGAATGGTGTGGAGGTTCAAATTGATGGTAGAGAAGATACACCCCACAAACCCTTCAGAGTACGTTACAATCCCAAAAGGAAGATATAGCATGCCTAGCTCTCTAGGAGTACAAGTTAACAATATGCTCCAAAAAGCTGCCAAACTAATATCCCTAAATCATAGGTATGACTGTGTCACTGCACTCCTCAAGAAGCTCCAGTACTTCCCACTTGCTTACAGGATAGCTTCCCTCAAGGGTCGGCCCAAATAACACTTCCTACAGAAACTCTGTTTGGACCTGTTAGAGGGAATATGAGATACGGGCAGGGAAGACATAGCAGCACAAAAAGCTCTAGAATAGGAATCAGGAGTTTGGGGTTCAAATTGTGGCTTTGCCAGTTACTAGGGGGAAATTGTGTGTATGTGTAAAATTTTAAAAGTACTGTTACTTTTGGGGGGGGGACCAGAACAATTTTTCATTCTCATAATCTCCTAGGTAGATATGAACATGAAAAGTGTTTCCATCACACCCATTTCTGGGAAAGCAGAGCTTGAGTCACATGAACCTCTAACTTCCTTATATTTGCAAAAGACTTTTAAAAACTTAGTATTATGGTCAACAGCTATCAAGGATTCTTTTCTTCAGTAGCTGTTTAGAAGCTATACATCAATCAATCAAAAAGCATTTACTGTTCTGTGCTAGGCAAAATGCCATGTAACGGAGAGATAGAAAACTCTACCTTCAATGCAGAGCTGTTAGAGGGTCTTGTGTTTATCGGAGACATGGGGTTCCTATGGTGTTCGTGCACAAGCAGGTTTATCACTGACCCAAAGTCAATGAGTTTTCAGCACTTCTGTTTTACAACAGATGGACTAGAATGCCATAAGCACTTTAACTAGAGTGTGAAATAGACCCCAAGTGTAGGATAACAAGAAAGTTAACTACCCATTTTGTAACAAGGAACATTTCTCAACTTAAAAATCTGATGACATCAGAAGAGAGAGGAAGCTGGAAAGGTCTGGTGGTACCAGACTGTGAAGCCATCAGGAAAAGAAAGGAATTTAAACTGTACTTAGAAAGCAGTAAAGAAGTATTGAAGATTTTTGAGCAAAGGAATATGACTACACCTTACCAACTTTGCAGAAGACAAAGTGCTGGGAGAAATAATTTAACACACTGGAGAACAAAGTCAGGATCTAAAAAGATCTGGACAAGCCAGGATATCTCTGCTTTAGGTAACTCTCTAGGACTATAAATTGCAGAGAAGGTACCACCCTACATTGGTAAAGGGAGTCTCTTCAGCTGGGAGCTCTCTCTACCAATGAAATCACAGGTCTGGGGTGCCTTTCCCAGTTGGTAATCCTACCAATTAGTAATCAGTGCAGAATGCCCCATCATGTGACTATGCTTTTGTTCCCAAAGGCAAGATGAGTAGTAGACACAAGCTCTGCTTTCCCTTGTAGCCCTTCTCTGGCCCTTTATTTCCTCCTTAAAGCTACAGTGTCACAGTCCTCTCCCATGAAGAGCAATAGTTTGTAAGGGTTTTTTCCTTTCCAGAATGTCCTGGTGACTTCATGAGTAATGCTTATGGAACAAAGGTAGATATCTATATTTTATTTCAAACTGAAACAAAAGTGGTAAGCAAGCTTGGTTAGTTTTAAATTACACTAAACAGACATCTTACCCACATGCAGGCTTCAAGTCTAACTTTTGACATGATGGTCCATAAAGAAATAGATCCTTCAATACCCTCTTCATCTGGACAAATAATCTGATCAGGATATGGTGGTTCTGGGAAATTAACCGAGTTGCATTCATACGCAGCTAGTGTAACTGAAGCTATATGTGGGCCCTGCAAAATAAAATTTAAAGCATAAAACAAAACAGTATGAATTTAAATATACACCACCCACCACATCGATGACTTTTACGTGACTTTAATTTTATGCCTTAATATTCCTTAGACATTACAATCTTATCCATTGTAACTTCAAGCAATAGCTGCTAGTTAGTTCCTCAGCTCCTTCCATCATGAACAGGGAAAAAACACTTTCTCCTTATCTTCTGAAGTGATAAAAAAAAAAAACAACCCTGCATACTGTCATTGTAAGCAGCAAGAACTTAATGCTTGAAAGGAATTATGGACATATTATAACATGAACACCTGAATCTGATCCTTCTCTGCTAAACAGTTCAATTATTTTCCTGCAAATATTGGTTAAAGCTAAACTGAAAGTAAAAATCATCCTTGGTTCTATTTCCCAATGTAATGCCATTCAAAACTCATATTTTAATTCAAAGAACTGAAATTTTTACCTATATGACAGACTAGCCCCATACATTTATTATAAATAATATAGAAATATTATACAAAAAAAATCATGAAGAAACTTTTGTGTTGAACCAATTATCCGGGCAAGTTTGTTTCCCTTTCTGTGTCTCAGTTCTGCTCTCTATAAAATAGGAATATAACTAAGGACCACTTCATAAAATGACTAACACTAGCATGGGATAGCAGAAGTAAGCCTAAGCAGACTTCAATTCTAATACTGCCTCTGACATTAACTAGTTCTGTGATACTGAGCAGGTAATTTATTCCTCTAGGTCTCAACTTCCTGATCTTCAAATTGAGGGAGTTGTAGCAAATAGAGGATATCTAAAATCCCTTCTATTTCTAGTAGTCTTTGACTCTAATGTTAAACTGTAATGTCAGAAAATATATATCTGTCCATTCAGGTATCGAAAAATGTGTTTTTAAGCAATAGATTTATTGATATATTTTATTTTGCAACAACAGACACTTCCCAAATACCCAAACAAACCCTTAAAAAGCATATCTGGAGAAAACAATCACTTAGCAGAAAGGACTGACAGATGCTTAAACTTTTGAGAGCATTACTAACATTGACTAGAGGATGTTCTTCTCAAAGCATTTAAGCATTACATGTTCTGTATCTATTATTCTTTTGGCTTTGCTGTTTTACTCTGAATCATGTCATACAAGTCATCTTGGGTTTCTATGAATCTTTCATATGTTAATTCTTATGGTATAGTAACAGTGCATGACATTCATAACATAATTTGTTCAGCCACTTCCCAAATGTTGGACACATATGTTGTTTCCTGCCTTTTGTTGTGACAAAATGCTGTCATGAATATTTTTGTACACTTGTCTTTTCCTACCATCAGTAACATAATACAGTGAATATGAACAATTTAGTAAATTTTTTTGCATAATTCCCAATTGTTTTCCAGAAGCATCAAACCAATTTATAATTAGCAGATAACTACAATGTCTTAGTGATTTGCTTAACTTAAAAATATTTTATTAAGTTATGTGGAAATATGTATCATATGTACATTTCTGCAGTTAAAATAATGTTAAATTACCTGCACAAAATCACTTGAAAACGCCTTGGGTGTGCTGAGAAAAGAAATCAGCCCTCTTCTGCTTCACTAATCATTTATAATTTACTTGTTCCTCATTTATATCTACGTACTTTAGGAAATCTGTGCATACACTGTGTATTTACTGCCTGAGTGGCACATAAATTTTCACATAGAAATTACTGTGAGATTTTGTGGATTTACTTTAAAATAAGATCGTTTTCCCTAGTGCTACAAGCTTAATAATGCTCTTATAAATGAAAATAGATTAAAGTTATTCACATGTAAAATTAAGTGGCAATCATATAAATCATTACAATTTAAATCAAAGTTGAAAACTTTTTTGATACAAAAATCTAATCTATTTATAATAGACTGCTATAACATTTTATATATTACTTTGAATATTAATTTAAAATGCATAAGTGAATTTTCCAACTAAAGCCTCCATCTTTATATATAAATTAAGAAAAACTGAGGTTTTAAAAATTACTATTAATTATAGTATATAAAAGTTTCTATTTTTTGGAAATATCACAAAAGATTCCTCCCGTGATTTTTTATAAATGAGTCAGTCTCTAAGAATAGTAAGTGGTCTCTGTGTAAATCTCTTTGATCACACAGTGAAGGAATTTGTGGTTCCAAGAGAGGGGCACATGAAAAATACCCAACAACTCTTAAAGCTAATAAAAGACCAGGCAGTGAAACTGAATATTACCCAATATGAATACTTACAAGCATGTTTAAAAATACAAGCTATATTTCTTTTCTTAAATATGCCCAGGCTTTTGGGGGATTAAATTTAGGAAAATGTGGTTTACCATTTAGTACTAGATCAATTGGTTATTAATAGATTAGTTCATTTTAGTCTAGTATAGAAGGTGGTTTTATCCTTTTTCAAGGATTGCAAAAATTGAGAAACAATAAACTTATTATAACATAGAAATGCTATGAAGGATTAAGAAATATTCATCAGTTCACAAGTATTCAATACTTTACATGTCAGAAATGGGCTTTAAAAAAAAAAATAACAGCTCAAGAGGTATAACAGAGTTAGCTTCTAGTTATACACATGAATGAAAAAGATTTTACTGTACTACTATTTAGATATTAGAGAAGATTGAGCTTAATGTTTATCCTACAGTGACTGAACAGGTACAAAAATAGATTTTTTAAAAATTTTAATCAATTAAAATTTTTTTAAAATGCCATCTCCTTATGGGTAGGAAATAGCAAATAAACAGTGATAAATGTGATAAAAATGAGAGTAAGAAAACATATGAAAATCCAATTGTAAGTACAATCTATAAACAAACAGCTACAGAGTTCTAGAAGCTGAGGATGCATATATAAAATCCTCACAACGAACAAAGGCTAACTTGCCATTTACCAGGCTTCCTGAAGCTAGATAACAGAATCCATGAGTTATAAAAGAAGAAATGACTACTTTTCAATTACCCAAAGAGATAAACTGCCCCCTCTACCACCTTTTAGTTTGAATCTCAAAATTAATTATATAAAGATATTTTACATCTCCCCTACCTTCCTCTGGACCTTTCATTCATTGAACTGAACAGACTTGCCCATTTCCCACAACTGTTCTAATAAGTCAAGTCATGATTACTCAGCCTTAGAATGAGATGTGGTGTTTCACAGACAAAATGAGAACCCTAATAACTCAGTCTCTTGTTCTTTGTTCCTTCCTAACAGGCCATTTAGCCGCCAGCTCAGCATATGAGTTTGAACTTTGGTAGCTGCATGGGGATGTCCAGTAAATTCTTCTTAACACAATAGAACAATGTTCTATTGCTTAACTTTTTATCTGTCTAAACAAACTCAGAAGTAAACAAAATAAAAAATCCTTGGAAATTATAAAATGGCAACAGGAAAGGAAATTTAGAAAGGTTATATGAGCTCAAAATATCAAAGGCTAAACTTCTCCTTCAACTTTATTCTCAGAACTACAATAATTTCAAAATGGACCAGAGATGAAACAGACAAATCACTTTATCTGCAATAAGGCTATTCCATCTTAAGAGCCTTCACAGTATCTTGTGATCCTTCTGTGTTGCTCAGTATAGTAATGCTAAATAAAACCAACCCAACGAGCTCATCTGAGCCTATTTGTGACATATCTGACATCTGGTTCTGTTTCAGTTCAAAATCCCATGTATCTGTTCTGAAGAGCTATGTTACATTATAATTTCCAAAGCTTTGATTATGGAATAATTTTGCCTTGTCTAGCACAGAAGACGTAGAACTTGGCCAACCCAGAGTAAGTTTGGGTGAGAAAAAAACCATGGTTAGATCATGAGGTAAGATTTTGAATGAGGGCAATGTACATAACTGCTTATGAAAAAATTTTTTTACTATTTTGGGCTGTTTTGGCTAGACAGATGAAAATGTTACATTTCCAAACGTTACCGTTTTGCATGAGATATGGAAATGGAATGATTTACTGATTGAAATAATTTAAGTAATAACTCAGAAAAATATATGAAATTAATTTTCTGTTATTTTCAAAAACGTATTATGCATTCTGGTTGGTTTTAAAGGTCTTAAGAGAACAGCTAAGTTTCTATTCTAAACAGGGAGATGTATCTGTCCTTCCTTAAATCACACCCAACAAAAGCACTTAATTAAGCATTTATGTGCCAGATTGTCTCTTGAGAGCTGGAATACAAACATAAGCAGAAAGACAGACCTTGACCTCTCTGAAACATAAAAAACAATGAAAGAGACAAGGCGGGAAAGAGGGGGAATGGTCTGAGAAAATCTGGGATATTCAGAATTGCAGCCTGAAGAAGAATGAAGACATGGCTGCACTGGGTCTCTTCCTTAAAACAGAGATTCTAGGAGACAATCAGAAAGAGAAGCAACAGAGGCTGATAGCACTTCCAATGTATGACATATGAGATTCAAGGGTGAAAAGACTGCTGGGGCACTGTAAAGACAGACTGAGTTAGGAGTGCAGGTCCTTAATATGCCTGGCTGCTAAAAGGAGTGCGTTTTATATTCCTATCCTTTTTCTTGTTACCAATTCTGTCAAGAGGTAGCTGGAAGATGCCCTTGCTAATGGCAACTTCCCATTAGGCAAAAGAGGCCTGGCCTCTACCAAAACAAATTTAGGGTCCTAATAAGGATGTAGGAGAACTATGGTATTCTTAGGAGATCCATATCTTCACTCACTGAAAAATATTTACTACATTATTGGAACAAAAACCCTTAGGTGGTGGGTAGAAGATTATATTTTAGTTTAAACTACTTCTCAGAATCCTTTGCTGGCATATCATTCATATTATATCCCGTAGGTAACTGTGTGTGTACCTAAGGTGCTCTCCTAGGCTTTCTTATCTCTCTCACTATATTCTCTCACTTGGTGACCACATAAGCTTCAAGAGGTTTAATTATCATCTTTATGCAGATGACTTCCAGGATCTATATAAACAACTCTGATCTCTCTCG